CGACAAGGCGACTTGAGGATGCATGCATCCCTATCATTCGGAACAGAGCTGAGGCAGTCCATTTTGTTTAATGTGCATGCTAGTTTCCTTACTTACTTAGTTAATTTGTTAATTAATTAATGTTGTGTAATAATTAGTTTAATTAGCTTAGATTAGCTAGATTATTCTGTACTATTCATTCGGACCCTCCGATGAGGGCAATGTTGTAATAAGTGTGCGTGTGTGTGTGATGCATGCCTTCCAACCCCACGTCTTTCTCCCTTTTATTTACCAGCTTATGATGGTTAGTTTAGGGTACGTTTCAATTAGCATACTTATGCTCGCATGTTTGCATCCATTTATCTATCTTGCATGCACCGGGCTCGGCGCATCATACTAACTGCAATGTATTTCAATTTTGAGTTGAATACGTGTATCAGTTGCTGCATTTCATATGCCATTTTAGAATAGCCGAGCCTATCTTAGTTGCATTTTTTCATTTGTTGCATTAGGCATTTCAGCATAGTTAGGATTCATGCATGATTTCTAATTAGCTTCTTTCTTTGGCTTGGAGTACTCGGTAAGTATTTATGCTTTAGCATCCTTGCATGCGTGTGAGTGACTGCCATGATTGCATGCTTACCATAAGGTTATTTGCTTATGTGATATAACTGCCGGAATGTCTGTGGGTGAAGGTTGGGTTATTTGAATTGGAACAATTCACCAATTGAGAGTTTTAAGCCCACTTGAGAGTGGCAAAATCATGTTTTCTTAAGCCCACTTGAGGGTGGCAAATCTACGTCTTAGCCTACTTGCGAGTAGCACCATCAAACCATCTTTCGAATAAACAAACATGAAATGTTTTGTTCCAACTCAAACGATCCAGTCTATACTTGTATGTTGTGTGCATCACATAGTAATTCTAGGCTAATAACCGGAATAAGAGCACATAATGTTTTCAAAACTCGATATCATGGTTAGTAGAGGCCGATCTTTGATCGGGCGAGCGAGGGTGCTCACGAAGTGACCTTCCCCAATCGTACCCAAGTTCCCGAGCCGAGGCAACTTTGGTGATGACGGACACGTGGCCTTAGGCAAACGAGTCAGGGTTTCCTAAATTTCCCCAAAATAAAACATTTAGGTGGCGACTCTGTATCTGGCAAAGCAGTCCAGGTTTGGCACTTCTTTCAAAATCTGTTTTCTCAAAACGATTTGCCGGATTTGGACTCTTTGGTTCAGA